AAAGAGATAGACTATTACGTAAAGATATAGACTATTACGTAGAGAGATAGACTATTACGTAAAGAGATTGACTATTACGTAAAGAGATATACAATCAGGCATCAAGTATAGAACTGCAATGGAAACTTTGTCGACAAACAGCTGATTGTTTTGACTCTGGCCTAGTGACGATGTCAAAATGTCAGTCAGAACATCATGACGCAGAGATAATAAAAAAAATGTGATGAAAAACAGCTGCCGTTGTTGCGTGTGGTAATTCGCAAGATATTCAGTGCATGTATTACGAGATATACCTGCTGAGAACATTCAAGAAACCTGTAACCTGTTGAAGTCTGGTTCAAAGGAAGCACAACAGTGCTAATATTCGAGTTAACTACGCTGTATATGTTTGCACGTGTGTACGTATATATACAATAGTGGAAAAAAAGTAGAACAAATTTAGGGCATGCTTATATCAGCATGGGCTCTGAATCTGACTCAGAGTCCGACTGGGTACTGATCGATGAATCGGATGGGCAACTAGACATACGACGAGAGAGTAGAGATATCACCAGCAGGCTACCAACCGAAAACATTCGCATCGGCAGTAGCGGTCAGTTGTCAAGGAAACGGAGCAAGACTAACGATGGGAGTGTAAGCACGCTCTCCAGCGGCCACAGCTCTATATGCAACATAAACATTAACAAAGACTACTCGACTGACGATACGGATATGATCGAGTTTGACAGAAATATACACGTGGATGTAAGTATGGGAGATACACTATCGCGCGTGTGGGTGGTTTTTGAAAACCAGCGTTGGTACTATGGACTGGGTTGGTCTACTACCTTGGCAACCGATCGCTTGAGTTTTAGCAACCACAGCGGCAATGTGGGGATCAAGAAAAGACCGAGCTTTATGGGTGTCGCTGGTGATGCAGATATAGTCTGCCATAGTAATAGTACATATGGTAGTATGTATAGTACATCAAACAGTAGTAAAAGTAGCGCGCACAGTGGGACTAGTTCGGTACACAAGCAAGGAGTGCCACTCAAATGGTGGGTGGATTTGAGTAGACGAGACGAGGAGCTTTGTGATGGGAGTGGATGGACCTATGCGTTCAATTTCAGTGATTTGAAAAGGACGGAGAGTATGGGAAGTTCGGATCCGGTATGTATATATATATATTAACACACACACACATGTATGTATGTATGTATGTATGTATACAGACATACATACATACACACAATATA